GCCTCCCTAGAGAGGCCAGGATGGGCTCATCCCTGCTGTCTTTTCAGCGGCAAGTAAAAACATTTATGTGCCCTCAGGCTTTTAAAAAATATATTTCTACATTTTCAGTGTTTTTGTATTTGTAGAATCATAGAATTATAGACTTGGAAGAGACCACAGGGGCCATCCAGTCCAGCCCCATGCCATGCAGGGACTCTCGGTAGTGCCACTCTATTCTGCTTTGGTCAAGCCTCACCTGGAATCCTATGTCCATTTCTGGGCACCACAGCCTCTGTTTAAAGAGCTCCAAAGAAGGAGACTCCACCACCCTCCGAGGGATTGTTTTTTACTGTTGAGCAGCCCTTACTGTCAGGAAATTCCTGCTAAAGTTGAGGTGGAATCTCTTTTCCTGTAGCTTGCATCCGTTGCTCCAGGTCCTATTCTCTGGAGCAGCAGAAAACAAGCTTGCTCCCTCCTCAATATGGCATCCCTTCCAATATTTAAACAGGGCTATCATTTCCCCTCTTAATCATCTCTTCTCCAGGCTAAACATAACCAGTTCCCTAAGTTGTTCCTCATAGGGCTTTATGGTTTCCAGACCCTTCACCATATTAGTCGCCCTCCTTTGGACACACTCCAGTTTCTCAACATCCTGTAATCAATAATCTCCTTACTGTGCACCACCTTGAGTCCCTATATTGATGATGAAGGTGATTATGATGGCCTCATCCTCATCAACAACAACAACAATAATAAAGTTCCTTATTTGAGGCCTCTTTGATTCTTTTCTCCATTATAGGATTACCCTGAATATTTTAGGGGGAGGACAGCATGCCTGGGAGCCAGCATGGCATAATGGTTTGAGCCTTGAACTACAACTCTGGAGACCAGGGTTCGATTCCCAGCTCAATCATGAAACCCACTGGGTGACCTTGGTTAAATCACACTCTCTCAGCCTCAGAGAGAGACAATGGCAAACCTCTTCTGAAAGAAACTTGCCATAAGTTAAAAGAATAAATAAAAAAATGACATGACACATCACACAGCACAATAGCATGCCCCCTGTGCTAAGTTCCTTTGAGAGTTTTAGTGGGTGTTGTCACCCACAGTGATTCTCCAGAGGAGTCTGTTCTTTTTGGTCAGATACAGAATTGCTTAAATTGATCCTGCTTTTGTTGTTTCCCACCCGTTGTAGTTTTAGCACTTTCTTTTCCCAGGCATCCCGCTTTGTACTCTTGACCTTCAGTTCTGCCAGCCCAAGGTCTCCTGCTGACACCTGGATCTCTACAATTGTTGCCTAAAGAGCCTTGAGATTCCAGCTCCAAAATCTGAGACCAAGGGATGACTTTGAAGGCAGGCAACTGTACTTAGGCCAAGAGGCTACTGTTAGGACAGAATATGGAGACAGAATGGTCCCCAATTGGCAAAGGGGCCAGACAAGGATACGTATTAGCACCCTGATTGTTCAATTTGTATGCAGA